GAGTGCTGCAAAGAGCAGCAAGAAATACCCCTGGCAAGTGTAGGTGAGTACTGCTGATTATTATTAATAATGATAATATCAGAAGGAAGGGTGAGGTGGGAGTGCTAAGAAAACAGTCCCTTATTTTTGAAATACCATGTTGGCAACCCTACTTGGGTGGGGGGGTCACGTCAGCTCTCTGCTCTTTCTGCACCAGAAAGGGTGGGAGGCTGCTTCTGCACTCTCAGGCTCTGCCTCGGTTTCTCCCTCTGCCATGGTCTCAGGCAGCACAAGGGCGGCCCCAGCTTGTGCAAAGGAGTGGAGCCTCTCTCCTCCCCAAGTGCCTGTGAATCGCCGGAGGGCCTGTTCCCATCTGTTCTCTGCTACACCAGTTGGCAGTGTGCATGGGGAGGAGGCCAAGGGATTAAAAGTCTCTCTGGTTTAGCAGTTCCCTTTGTAATTAAACCTTAGGGCCCGGGCTGCTGCTTAACCCTTTCCAAAGTGTGTGGCAGGCCAGAGGCCGCTCTGCCGGTGCAGGAGCGGGAAGGGAATGGCCAACTTAGAAACCCCCTCCCCAATACACAATGGCGGGGAAGCTGCATGTAACTCCCTGCCGGGGATTCCAGTGGCACAGCCATGCCTGGCCTGAGCAGGATGAGGGTGTTCTGGGGCACGGAGAGGTACTGTGCTCTCAGTGCAGGGCTGTGGTGCCGTTCATGTGAATGGGGGACCCTGCACAGGCAGCCAGGGGCCATTCTCATACGCAGCAGGTGAGTGACCCGTTTCCTTGCTAGCTCTGCTGCCCTCCCACCTGTTGGCATCGTGTGGGGTGCCCACGGTGGCGCTGCATAGTGACATCACTGGAGATGCTGGTGGTGATGGGCATCGTGTTTTGTTGCAGCTTGTGATGAGGTCATAACAGAGTCTCATCCGAGTTGTAACACTGGACTGGCTGGCCGTATTTGGGGCATCATGGCCTCGGCTTGTTCTGCTGGCCTCACACCAGGAACTTATTCTGATGATGTCGTGGTGTGTAGTGTTTTCGCATTTGTGCTTCCTTTGATGATGTCATGCCAGGGTTCATTCTGTGCCCTTTGGCTCAGGGCTCGTTTTGATGTCGTCACACAGAAGGTTTGCCCTGATGATGTCACCACACTGGTCATGATCTCCCAAGGGATGTCCATTGGGATTATGGCATTTGGTGCTTGACATATCGGTAGCAATGCTCTAAAGAGTGCCAGTTCTCTCCCCAAAACCGCCAGGCCCTTTGAGGGTCCAGTTCCCATGGCAATGGGCCCATCTCATGGATGGGGCTCTCGGTGCGGCCATCCTGGGAAGGATGGTGTAATATGGATACAGCAATGGGCTTGGCAGTCAGGGCTCCTGGGTTCTATTCCCAACCGTGAGAGGGGAGTGGTGTTTAGTGGTTAGAGCTGGGGAGACTGCCTGGGAGTCAGGGATGAGGATCAGAGCAGGGGTAGGAGTCCAAAATCTGAGTCCTGTTCCCATCTCTCCCTGACCTGATTGCATAATAATGAGTGGGGACTTGAGCGCCCTGATGTTCCTAAAGCACTTTGAGATCCTGGGGCAGGACGGGCTGGCAAGGGGAAGTGTCAGATTTCCATGTTTGTTGCTCCCGACGGGCCCAGTCGACAGCCCTGTACACAGCCCCCCTGGCTGCCCTGTCAATGTTCTTGTTTCCCTTCTGGCAAGCCACAGCCCTAGCCTGGCTGGATGACTCACTGCCCTTTGGGAGCTCAGGGAGGAAGGGGGAATCCCGTCTCCCACTCCTGTTTCCTTTTTAGGACAGTTCCTCCAGGCCACTCCAGACCCGGGGCTCCTTCCAGTGCTAGAATCCTCCAGTCTCGTCAGCACCCTCTGGACAGCAACCGTGCAGCAGCCCGCCAGCTAAAATAAACTCCATCCTCCTGAGCCCCTGCTCCGCCCTGCAGATGTGGAAGAGCTGAGAGCTTAGCCTGCAAGGGCGGGGTCAGCCAGGGTCAGGGAGGATAAAGCAGCCAATCCTATCAGATTAAGAGCCGGCCATTTCAGGCTGCTGTGAATTAGACACTGTCAAGTGAGGCGCTTGGGTAAGTTTAGCCCAGATGCTCCTGTTGGCTGCTGGCCCGGTGAACGCTGCCATGCGTGGGCCAGTGCTGCTATGCTTGGCTGGGCCTTGCGCTCCCCCCTCTTTCCACAGGCATCTCCAGCCGCTTGCGACTCTGGATTGGGAGGCCAGGGCTTGATCCCGCCCGCTAGCTGGGATTTCCCTTTTCCCAGGAGACAAAGACCCTGTGAGTGAGGCAAGCAAAAAGCCTCAGAAACGCTGCCCCTGGCTCCAGGCATTGGAGCCGAAGGAAGCGTGGGGAGGGTTCAGAGACTGATGGTGGCAGAGGGAACTTCCACGACTAGGTGGATACTTCAAAACCAGCCCTGCATGGTAGCCCTTCCCATCCTGCAGCTAGTCAGTGAAATGAGTTTGGTGGGGCTGAGGCTAGTTCCCACTCATTCTTGTTTGTATGACCGAAATGCCCAGGAGCCCCCCTCATGGATCAGGACCCCACTGGGCTATGTGCTGCACAAACAGACCAAAAAGTCAGTCCCTGCGCCAGGGAGTTCATAGTCGAAGCAGGCCTTGTCCTCCCCTGCTGTCAGTCTCATCAGAACAAGCGCCAAGCTGGGAATCAGACATGCCTCACGTGTCCCTTCTCGTCCCACGATCTCAAAGAGTTCACAGACAATGGGCTCAGCCACACAGCCCCTCGACAAGGTAGCTGAGTACTGCTGTCGTCTAGTTCTTACAGCAAGTCACTGACAGAGATGGGAACAGGACCCTGGTGTCCTAACTCGTAGACTGGTCTCCTTCTCTTCCCCTGCTCCCCGCCACTTGAGATGAGTACACTGTCTTGTCGGGGGGGCTGTAACACACTTTCCAAGGCCACTGTGTTCTGGAAAACAGAGACAGTTGCTGTTCTATCCCCAGCACAGCCTGCATACCCCATCTCCCTCCTAATTGCTGTCCCTGGTGCACTCAGCACTGGCTGCATACCTCTCCCCTTCCCCAAGCTTTCTCTCCACGTCTTTCCTTCCCCCTCATCTCTCCTTCTCACTCACCTCAGTCTTCCTGCCTTGTATCCCTCCCTCCCCTGCTCCCCAGAACAAAACCGTCCTCATTCTTAACTCCATCTTTTCTCTTTGGACCGGGATTCCCGCTCACAGGTGTCCCTGGGCTCTGGGTGTAAGGCAGTGGTGTGCCCCGGCCAAGTCAGACAGTGTGTGAATATATGGGGGTGAGGGCAGCCCTGCGCTGCGTGGCTGGTTGGATGCAGGGGAGGCAGAGTGCATTTCATCCAGAGTTCCTACAATCAGTGTTAAAAGGAGCCATCCTCAATAAACTATTGGCAAGACATGATTGGGTGTGTTGATTTATGGGGGGATAGAGTGGGGGGCTCGGGGGAAGCTGACCTGCTTGTTGGGGGCTAGGTAGTGCTGTTACCTGTCATTTAACGAGCACAGCTTATGCGGGAAAGGGTGCTGGTGCCCTTTCTGTACCTCTGAGCTCCCTGACTTCACCTGCTAACACCAAGGAAGCCCTGTCCTGGCTGTTGTCAGATGGCAGGCATGAGGGTTTGGGGGATGCCGCGAGGCCCTGGTTCTCCCACTTTCCGGGGGCAGTGATGCCAATGCTGTCCCTGGCGTGACGGCTGCAGCCAGGAGGACGTGGGGTGGGCCAGGGGGAGCCCATGGGTTTTCAGACCCACTCCCACCCCCTCAGAACCCCAGCTGGGGAGCCCCAGGAGAAGGAGGGCAGGCATCGAAGGGCGCGGAAAAGCTCTCGGATTTGAGTGGGGAGTGATGGAGGCTCCTGCAGGCCCTGCCTGAGGCTGATGCTACCCCCTGTACCCTGGCTATCCCCAGCCCGTGGAGCTATGCCCCAGGAGCAGCTGGCACTGCCCTCTTACCCCTCCCCATGGAGGGGGCCCCAGGGTCACTGGGGTGTCGGGGGTGACCCTGCGCCCCCAGGGGCAGGGGGCCAGGGTGGCCACGTGTCCCTCTGGAGGCCGCCCCAGAAGACTGCGACCCTTTTGGGCACGCGGCCCCTTTAAGGAGCAGCTCCGCCTCTCGGCCGTGGGCAGCCTGAATGACAGCGATCCCGCCCAATGGAAGGTGAGCGTGGTGTCTCGGCCGGCCAATGGGAGCGGAAAGCTGCCAGCCTCTTCCGGGGTGGGGGGGGGGGAGGGAGCTGAAACGGCCAGGGAAAGACGAGTAAGTTTGGGGGGGTCTTGACCCCGCCCCCAGGGGCCCCTCCCTCCGGCCACCCCCCCCCCAGTTCCAGCCTTCCCCTCCCAGCCCCTGGGGGCCCCTCCCTCTGCCCCCCAGCTCCAGCCTCCCAGTCCCCTCCAGTTCACCCAGCTCCTGGGGGCCCCTCCATGCCCCCCAACCCCCAGAGACCCCTTCCTCTGCCCCCCAGCTCCAGCCTCCCCAGCCCCCGGGGGTCCCTCCCTCTGCCCCCCAGCTCCAGCCTCTCCTCCCAGCCTGCCCAGCCCCCGGGGGCCCCTCCCTCTGCCCCCCAGCTCCAGCCTCCCCCCCCCTCCCTCCCCTCCCCCCTCCCCTCCCCCCCCCCCCCCCCGGGGCCCCTCCCTCTGCCCCCCAGCTCCAGCCCACCCAGCTCCTGGGGCCCCTCCCTCTGCCCCCCAGCTCCAGCCTCTCCTCCCAGCCTGCCCAGCCCCCGGGGGCCCCTCCCTCTGCCCCCCAGCTCCAGCCTCCCCTCCCAGCCCGCCCAGCCCCCGGGGGCCCCTCCCTCTGCCCCCCAGCTCCAGCCCACCCAGCTCCTGGGGCCCCTCCCTCTGTCTCCCAGCCCCCCTCCATGCTCCCCAACCTCCAGGGACTCCTCCCTCTGCCCCCCAACTCCAGCCTCGCCTCCCCCCCACCAGCCCGCCCAGCCCCCGGGAGCCCCTCCCTCTGCCTCCCAGCCCTCCCCCCAAGTCCCCTCAGCTCCCAGGGGGCCCCTCCCTCTGCCCCCCAGGTCCCAGTTTCCCAATTCTCAGCGTGTCCCCCCTCCCCTATGCCACACTCTGACCCCTCTCCCACTCTCAGGGGTGCCCCCTTTTTCTTGCGCACCCCAAAGAGAGGTGTCAGTGCAGAGGGTTGGGGATATTTTGGGAGCAAACCTCCCGTGGGCTGAAGCGTTTGCGTTTCAGCCTCACTGCCGCTTTCCACCAATAACCCGCCTTCCCTGGGACTGGGGAGGCACAGTTGAATATTTGGGTGTGGGGAGAGATCTGCCCTTCTGAAGCCCCCATGTCACTCCCCCCCCCCCACACACACATCCCGCTCTCTGTGTCCCTCTGGTCCCCCAGCCCCGCTTTCTGGGCCTCCCGGATCACCCTGCTCCCCTGGCACCACAGCCCTCTGGTGCCCTCCTGTCGCTGCGCCTTGTGCCACTGAGCCGTTGTGGGGTTTGCTGTGTTGCAGCCATGGCCTGTGGCGCTCTGGCGGAGGAGCTGGATGCCGTGCTGAGCGGGAGGGGTTGGGAGGTGCAGGAGAGGTACGACTCTGCCCCTGTGCCCGCTCACCCTGTCAGAGTGCGGAAGACCGCCTGCTACATCGTCCTGGCTGTCCTGCTTAACGACCAGGTGAGGGGTCCCTGGAGCACTGGCTGGGGGAATCAGAGTGACGGCTGGGGGGTTTCCTATGGTGCCCATCACCATGGCATCCAGTCACTGCAGGGTGAGCATCCACAGTCCAGAAAGCGCTGAGCACTCAACGCTACGCTCTGAACATCAGGCTCCTTCAAGCTTTCGTAGTTTGGGTCCCCAGAATGACTGGCCACTCTTGAAAACTGTGACCTGTGTTTTAAAATTAATTAGCACTAGTATGACCCTCTTAACAGCTTTGTTTGAAAGCACTTTTACAAAGGGGGGCTAGTCCCTCCATGTTACCTTTAGGGAAACTGAGTCATGCACAGATGAGAGATGACTTGCCCAATATCACAGTGGGTCAGTAGCAGAAGGTGGAATGAGACCCAACTTCCTTATCTGTGTTACTAATAACACCGTTAAATCTCCTTTAACAACCAAGGCAGGTCTACACTAGAAACTTTTCCTGGCATAGCAACATCAGCTAGAGGTGTGTGGTGTGGTTTTTTTTTGTTTGTTTTGGTTTTTTTGCCAGGGTGGATTGATTTAAATCAGTCAGCAAGGAACCTCAGTTTAACAGATAAGTTTTAATCTGGTTTTGCCTATGTATGTTTTAGTTACTTTCCTAACAAAGGTTGATTCTCATTGGTTGGTAGTGATGAAAACACTGATTTGCAATTAAATAAATCTTTAAGTAAACTTGTTTCTTTTTGCTAACCAGGAGAATACCATATTTAAACAGTGTTATCGCTTAACATACATTTTATTTAAATTCTTAATTTTTACATTTTTTATTTAGAAAGTGGTGAATGATGTGGCATTTCTTATACAGTAGAACCTCTGAGTTATGAACACCTTGGGAATGGAGGTTGTTCATAACTCTGAAATGTTTGTAACGCTGAACAAAACGTTATGATTGTTCTTTCAAAAGTTTATAACTGAACACTGACTTAATACAGCTTTGAAACTTTACGATGAAGATGAAAAATGCTGCTTTTAACCATCTTGATCTAAATGAAACAAGCACAGAGTTTCCTTACTTTGTCAAATCCTTTTTAAAAATTTTTCTTTTTAGTAATTTACTTTTAACATTATACTGTTCTGTATTTGCTTTTTTTTTTTCCTGTCTCGCTGCTGATTGCATACCTCAAGTTCCAAATGAGGTGTGTAGGTGACCTGTCAGTTCATAACTCTGAGGTTCTACTGTACTAGAAAGTGTTTCTCAACAACTGGTCCATGAACTGGTGCCAGTCCCCGAGATCTCCCTGACACAGTTTAGGGAGGCAGCAAGCCGGTCCCTGGCATCAAAAAGGTTGAAAAACACTTTCCTAGAGGATTTAATTTTGTTACTTGTGATTTGTGTCAACCTCTATTTGGATGGAAATTGGAATTCAAGTGAAAATGCACAAAAAACCATTTTAAAATTGTTTTTTGTTAGTTAAATAAATCTCCCTCAAATGAGTTGGGAATGGGAACAGGAAAAAAAGTTTATCAAAACAAGTTTTGTATTTCAAACCAACTGGTTTACGAAACAAAGGAAGTATCTGTTGTTAGTAAACTGAAGTGACTTTTTCTGGTCCATGTCCTTCAAAACTTTAGAACTTATCGCTCTCATCCTTATGCCTTTATAGAGTTGCGGGGGGGGAGAGACAAACATTCATACTTTTACCACTCCTGGTTGGTTTCTTAAGTTTGAACTGAACTAATTGAAATGAAATATTCTCTCTGTACCTGCTGTAGTCAATGATTTACTTAATAAAAGGCTAAGCTGTGAAAGGCTGTCAAAAGCTGGGTTAGCATGTCCGCAAACTCTGGTTGCAGGTGCTTCGTCAGTGACTTCCACTGTTTCAGTGGTTTGACTTTACTTTAAACCATGGCAGCAAACTTGTAATACCCAATACTGTTTTTAATTTAATGTAAATGATTTTAGTAGAGCAGAGTAAGAGTAGGCCTTTATCATAGGCTAACGTCATTTTATAATTAAAAAGAAAAATGTATTTAATTTAAAATCTCATTTAAATAAAACTTTGTTTTATTTTTCTAAATCAATTTTTATTCACCCTGGTTTTTTTGCAGCATGTCTCTGCTGACAAAAGGCCTTGTGTAAATGCAGTTATACGAGCAAAAAAGATACTTTTTGCCAGGAGAGCTTCTTTTGCTGACAGCAAAAGCATGAAGTATACCAGCAAAACCCCTTTTTGCCAGTATAATCTGCATCTCCGCTCGGGGGGTTTGCTGGCATAGCTCTACTGGCAACACCTAATGTCCTGTTTCTAAGGCCCTGACGTGCATTCCCATTGGTGCTGTGCAAACAACACATAATGATGTTGCACCTGGTTTGGACTTGGTTTCTAGCCATTCTGGTTGTCATGTGCGAATCTGAAGGGTTTGATGGCAGATGTTCTGTAGGGGAAAGTATCTGTGTGTGTTAAAAACTCTTTTCGTTGTCATTTAAAAAAAAAAAAACAAACCCAACCTAAACATTCCTTTATCTTCCTTTTCCAAAGCCTAAGGGCTGGGCTGGGCAGTGTAGGGTAGACTGAGAGCAGAAGAAACTGGAAGGTGGGCTCTCTCTGGCTGTGGAGTACTCTCCCAAAGGAAGGGGTAGCAGTCATATTGCCTGGGCCATTTTAAACTTAGAAATACACAATAGTGAACGGTGTGGAGGAACTCGGTGGTTCCTAACTGATCTCACGTTAGGGAGGACACCCCTTAGATTCCCATGGAAACTGGTGGGACCCGCACCTCCTGGGACACTGAAAACTGGACTGGAGAATTGGCCTGTAGGGAGGAGTCTTGCGGAGGCCCTAAGTTTTGTTGTAGCTGGGAACAAGGTCCTGTGATTTTTGAGCCCCCCCATGCAGCTGGGTGATCCGAACAGGGCTGGTCCCTGCCCATTGGGATGGCTCTATGTTGTGTGACCTGGGATTTTTTTCCCTCTCTCCTAGAACGAGGTGCTGATGATGCAGGAGGCCAAGCATGAGTGCTATGGGACGTGGTACCTGCCTGCCGGGAGGATGGAGCCCAACGAGACCATCCTGGAGGCCATGAAGAGGGAGGTGAAGGAGGAGACGGGGCTGGAGTGTGAGCCTCTCACCCTGCTGGCAGTGGAAGAGAGAGGCTCCATCTGGATTCGCTACGTCTTCCTCGCTCGGCCAACTGGTGCTTCCCCCTTATTCCTACCCCCACCCAGTGGGGGTTGGGGACTAAAATGTGTGGGGATTGCGAGGGACACTGCAGGCAGCAAGCTCCGCCCTGGGCATGGGGCAAGAGGCAGAGGAGCCTCCTGGAGCTAGCCAAAGGAGGAGTGTCGATGTGGGGCTGTGTCCAGCTTGCTGGCTCCTCCTCTGAGCGCCTTCCCTTTTTTTTCTGCTCAGAACTGCTTCTCTTCCTACTGCACCCTCCCCCCTATGGCATCTTATGCTGGGCTTGCACCATAACTTCCCACTGAGCCCAAACTGCTTCTGGCGCAGGAGGGGTTAGAACTGGCTGGGGGGCTGTGTGTGGAGAGCCAGGACTGGAATAGCAGAGGGAGCTGCAGCTTATGTGGCTGCACTGACAGAACTGTAGTGGTAGCGTGCATGGCAGGGTCCTTGCATCCACTCCATCCTTTCACGAGCACTCCCAGCCGTCTTAGCTGTGGAGCGGGAGGTGTCCATGTTTCCCAGCTCTGGCCATGGCGCTACGGCCTATTGTAGGGATGATGAAGGGAAAACCAAGGATGTTTTATACCCCCAAATCCTCATTCCTTCCCTGGAAAAGAGCCCCAGCTGCCTCTTAACTGCTTGATTCCTCCCTCCCCCTCCTCTAGCACCCAGTGATCTGCAGAAATGTAACATCCCCGCCAACCCCTTCCGTGCCCCAGGCACTGCTGCCCAGGCTGCTCTGAGTGCTACACAGACACACTCTGTTTTCTGCCTAGGCGGGACCTTGAAGGCACCCCATGATGCAGATGCTGAATCCCTCCAAGCCAGGTGGTGGGACAGAGAATCTCCTGCCCTTCCTCTGCGAGCTCGGGATATCCTGCCCCTTATGGACCTTGCTGTGCGATACCGAGACAGCCCATCCTACCCCATGACCTTGCCGGAGGAGATGCCCTGTGCCTTGATCTGCCAGAGGCTCCTGGCTACGTTCACCAATGATGCCGGTGACTTGTGGGTGCTGCTGAGTGCTGTAGGGGCCCCACACCTGCCAGTGTGTGCCCGCACCACCTCCCCCTGCAAAATCCAAAACAGCATCCAGGCAGCAGCCTGCAGCCTGCTGAAGGAATGCTGCCTGCTACCGCAAGTGACTGTCCGGGCCCACGGGGTTCTGGGGCTGCAGCACCTGGGCAAGAATGCAGGGAAATCTGACGGTGTTTGCTTCAACGTGCTGCTGACTGTTACGCAGGGTGACCAGAGCACCCAGGAGACGCCACCAGAGCTGCAGGGTGAGAGCTTCCAGTGGTGGAAGATCAAGGAGAGCAACTTGAGAAGCAGAATCCTCCAGAGGCTCAGCTCGTCAGCCGTTGTCCCAATTCACAGCTACTGACACAGGTAAGCAATGCTGGCTGAGCCCCGCTCTAAGGCTGGTCTGCTCCTCTCTTCACTGATGGGGGAACTGGGACTGGCTGGCCTAAGTCCACAAAGCAAATTGGTGGCAAAGCTGAGAATAGAACCCAGGAGTCCTGCTCCCAGTCCTGGGTTCATTTACTGGGACCTGCTGGGTGGCCTCTTTCACTGACGTACTAGGGTGATAGGTGTCAGTAGCGAACCCTGTAATAATTCCAGGTGAGCCCTTGCTAAAGCCTGTTGAGCTACACCATTACCGTGGATGGAGAGGGTGTCGCGGTGCCGGGTGACCTGATGCTTAAATATTGCCTTCTCGCTCTTCTCCCACAGGATCTCATTGAAGCTTGGATTCAGAGACCTTTCCCTGGGCATGGGACACGCTTCACCCCGTTACGGCCATTGGCTGTCCCCACGCAGCCATCCCGAGGATGATGCATGGCTTCACCGCAGGGCACGTCCTACTCAGCCGCTGCCAACCACAGACCCATTTCCCCAGCATGGTTATGGAAGGGTGAGTGGAACCCCCTCACTACATCCAGCGGAGGGGGGCACGCAGCACCACGATGGGGGGGTGACTTTTCGGGACTTGACCTGACGTGACCTTTGGGCAGACTGCAGCTCCTAAAGCTGAAGTTCCAGCGTCCGGGGCTCTTCCCTTTCATGGTACCGCATGTCCTCAACGCGGGATGCAGAGAGCCGGCCAAGGCAGCTTGTTTACAGCTGGAGCTTGGAAATAAAAAGGGCCGTTTCTCTGTAGTGTTGAATGTTGTTCCTTGCTGGGATTAAAGCAGGGCTGTGTTTGGAAGCATAATGCAAAGTTTATTAGACATGGCAAATGTGCTGTGGAGAATGAGTCAGTCAGGCCCGCTGGGCTCGGTTGGAAGGCAGCAGTACATTCCTGTTCCTTTTGCTCCCTGCTCTGGGGATGGGGCTAAGAACAAGGTGCCCTCTCATGCAAAGTACTTTATGTACAGCCAAGCCTCATACCCCAGGAAGGCTGATAGCATTCCCATGTTAGGTTGGGGAAACTAAGGCACAAAGAAGGAAGTGACTTGCTTAAACCTCACACAGCTGGTCAGGGGCAGTACTGGGAATAAAACTCAGGAGTTCCACCTCTTGGTCCTGAGTGTGTCTGCTAGGACCTGGATGGAGCCTGAAGTTTGCTGGACTCTGAAGAGCTTTTAGCTTCACAGCTGGGCAAGCTGCTCTCATTTTTTATAGGGAACCAGAGACCTCCCTCTGCTGCATGGCCTGAAAGGGGGTTGGACTGTCACAGTTCATGTGAAATGAGGCGCTATGGGAGGTAGGAGCAGCCCTGTGCAGGAGCAAATGTGCCAGCAGCTCTATGGTCAACTTGAGGTTTTGCTCAGAACCGTGATGTACATGTCTTTGTAAAGCATGTGCCCATCTTGAGAGAAGCCCTCATGCCACAGGGGATGGCAGGTTCTGCTGGTCTCCAAAACATGCCTTGAAAGCCATGGCCCTGGTTCTACTTACTGCCTGAGCCCTGCTGAGGCACTGAGAACTGCACTCTGCCTAGCAACGTAGGAGTGGTTAGCTTTCTCACCCCAAACTCCCATTCAGCTGCAGAAAGCACAGGGCCTTCCAGCTGCCTTAGCAGTTCCACAGGGGAGGGCTAGAGAGAGACTGAGCATGCCCCAGCCAGTGCCTGTGATCCGTGTGCTGCTGCTAGGCCATGAGTTTCTCTGCCATCGCAGGGGGATGCTTCCTCCTTTTCCGTTGTACACCAGAGCTGGGCAAAGCAATTGGTTCAGTTCACTGCCACCTCTGACAAACTGTTTCAGGTTGAACCAAAAATTAAGTTTTTTTTTGATGAAATTGAAAAGTTGGAAATAAAGCCAATGGGGGGGCTGGATGAAACATTTTTATTTTTGAGCATTTATCATTTTTAATTAAATTAATGGAAATTTTGAAAATGAAAAGTTGTTTTAAAATTCCCCCAAACTTTGAAAGTTTTTTCAACTGAAACAATTGGGTGAAATCAACACATTCACTGAATCCTGCATTTTTTTTTTTTCCCCAACAAAAAAAAAGTCCTGCTTGAAAGATTTTGCCCAGCTCTCCTCCAGAGGGTCATTCCTGGGCAGGCGAATGCATTTCTCCTCTGGTGCTGTTCTTGAGTCCCTTCTAGTGTTGTTTACTGTGAAATTTCTGAGCAAGTAGCTTCACTGACCCAGAGTTTTGTGCCTGATGCCAATATTCATATTAAGCCTGAAAGCTAAACAACGTGTTGAGAATGCTAGGGAAGGCGAATGAGCATCAGAGGACTCTGGAATGGATAACTGGGTAGGATGGCTGCTTTTCAAAGGGAAATCACTGTGATTGGGAGCTGCTGGCTCAGTCAGCACCCTTGAAAACCAGGTCACAGAGGTAGGTGTCTGCATATGAAGGTAGGTTCCCTGTTTCCAAAAATCTCAGTTGCTGTGTTCCAGATGCAACTCCAATTGGACTCCATTCCCAAGTTGAGAGGGAAATGGGCGGCTGCCATGTAAAGTATGCAGGCCAAGGCACCCAGCGATGTGTGGGTGTCCAGTCTGAGCCACGTTAGAGGGGCCTGATTGGCCCTTCAAGGGGTGTGGGTGCCCCAAGTCACTGGTCCACTCTGCAAATCTTAGCTATAGGCCTTTCAGGTTGGAATCTGCCCTGCTCTTTAATACATGTATCTCTCATTAAAATCAGGCCAAGCCCCACCTATACTCAGTATAGGGTCTGCGTGTGCTACTGCCACCTGATTCTGCACTCTAACCTTGCGCCAGGGATTCACATTCTCCCCTGCGCCCCCCCCCCCTTTTTTTTACAGCAGTTGTTTAAACCTGTCTCGCCCAAAGCAGGGAGGCTGCTTTGGGGGTCAGTCAGCAACAACAAAATGTGTAGTGGCAGTATCCCCCCTATGTACCACAAAAGAGTGCGTCTGCCCCGTGCTTACATGTGTTTGTATTTCAGCCCTGGAAGCGTTTTAATGTAAGGACCGTAATACGCTTCCACGGGTGGGTAAGTACTAGCACTGTTTTACAGAGAGGGAAATGGAGGACAGAGGCAGTGACTTGTCAAGTCAATGGCAGAGCTGTGAATAGAAGCCAGCTCCCTCTAACTGAGATGCTAGCTCGTTAAAAAGATATGGTGCAGCTGGAAAAGAATGTTCTGTAATTGTGCTAGGAGAGGTTTGTAAAGGGAAAAGGAGCCCAATGATTCAAGTTTATCAAGACATCACTTTATTGCCACAGGAAGAGTTAAGTTACTTGTACATATGTACAGACAAACGGCACACATTTTAAGGTTGGTTGTGTTACACACCATACGTTTAAAAGTGCATAGTTCTGAAAAGGTGGTACTGTAACATTTGCCAGTTCATTGTACCCACTTACCACATGCAGCTGCCATAAATATAACACCAAAACCCAGGTTTACCAAGCAGCCAGCTCTACACACCTTTGTGCATGGTTGATAAGAGGCAATACAAGACAAAAAGCCCCTCTGTAGATAATTCTTATAGCATATTTGGCTATACTGCATCACTTAATGTCTTTGAAGGCCAATGATCTCCTCATTTTCTAGGACAAACAGCTTTTTCTGTTAAGCTCTATCAGGCAAGGAACTGTCTTCCTCAATAACATTAAATAGTGCCCCTAAGCAGCCACCCTGCACTTAATACCAATGTCAAGAACCCAGTTGGGGTGATATTTGCCAGGCTTACAAGCTGCTCCGACAGCATGTTATTAATCAGATGTATTATGGTAGTGCCTAGGGATCAACCAAGAGTGGGGCCCCATTGTACTAGGCACTGCCCAAATACAGTAATTTGTACCTACTCTGGTTGGCTGACAGCTCTAGTTACCAGAGACCTTTTGCTGCATTGTGATGAAGTGTTTGTTACATTCCAAAGTGCACAAAGGGAGATGCTGGGATTCTGCAGGGTGTGTGAATATCTATCAATAGAGACACAGCCCTGTTAAATGGCATAGTATTGCTGGTATAAAAAGACTATTGCTAACTTCATTCCCATAGCACTTTACAAATTCATCCTTGCTACCCAGGAAAGCAGTGGGCGAGATCCTCAGCTGGTGTAGGTCTATGAAGCCTGACATCAGGTAAGAATCTGGCCCATTATAGGGAAACATGGGGGAAATGTGAGAACTCAGCTGATGCTGGGCTCCTGGCTTCTCAAGGGGCTGTTCTCCAGGATCTGTGAGGGAAGCCTCCTGCTCTCTAGAGGTAGCTCTGAGTTTCCTTTCACAATGGGGCAGGTTGCTTTGCAAGGCTTTGCTTCACTCTCAGTCCTGCTGAACTAAAGCAAAGCGCCTTCCCACCTCCAGGAAGACAGGGCAGAGCTGCACCTGTCTGAGGGCTGCTGTCCCATTTTCTGATCAGCCAGAGCCGAGGCGCTGTAAGCGTGATGGAACGCAGCGCTGCCTCCAAAGGTTTGCTGAGGACAAGGAGCAACCTGTCATGTCTTGGCTGCCTGGCAGACCCACAGTGGCTCTTGTCAGACCATATGGAAAGCATCAACTGGAGCCAGTTCAAAGTCAGAATGAACTTTTCCTCCTTGCCCCAGGGCCCCTGTCGCTATCGAGCAAGAGCATCAGACTAAATGAAAGCTTGTTTAACAGCCCCCTGACAGCAGCGCATAGGGCCCAGTGGGACTCGTCTGTCACACAGCCACATTAATCATGCCTGCCTTGCTTTGCTCAGGATCCCCAAACATGTGAAAACCAATGGAGTAAGCCTCAGGACCTGTCTGGGAGGTAGGTCCAGTCACTTCTTTATCCCTCTCTTGCGGGGTTGGGAACATGCTTTTTACCCCAGAACAACCCAGCAGCCCTTTTGGACTGCAGGGGAAGAGGGAAGGTCTGGGAGCGAGGCTGGCCACTCGCCCAGCAAGGTGTCGTAAGTGCCATGGCTGGAGTCTGACTGCAGGCTTCCAGGTCCAGCAAAGCACCAGCTGGAGACATTGCACTTTGATTAAAGGCCTGAAGAAGAGTCTTATGACCACCCTGCTAGGAAAGCTGGGGTTGGCTCCCTTGTCTGTCCCTGTGTTCATTACGTGGAGGAGGCTGGATGGATTCCACCTGGGAATCTACCCTTCCAGAAACAAGGCCAGTAGGCCTCTGTAGTGGGGTGATTTAGCACCCACTTTTGCAATGTGCTGGACCCTTCCTTCACCTACAGTTACCAAGAAGTCTATTCTGGGCCCACTGCCAGGACACCAGAACGGTGCACTCCTACTGTAATGGGCCCTATGTAGATCTCTCTGTTCCACAGGGCTTTAGACACTGCCCTGATCTCTTTCCCTCGTGCTAGCCCTAGGCACTTGGAAGAGGAGCTATAAAAATCTTGCAGCATGGATTGTGGGTGCTGATCACTCTGATCCTAAGAGGCAGAAGATAGAAATGATGGAGGGCTCTCAATGCACCTAGTCGTGCTTTCCCAGCCAGCTTTGAGAGTTGAACACTGAGCATGTTCTTTCCACCAATGACTTGAGCAAACCATTGGTTTTGGAAGGTAGGAAGCAGAGTCCCTTTCCCCCAGAAAGAGAAGCGTCAAACCTGAGTGAGATGTTGAGGCTGTCTCGAGGAGTCGCCCTCTGTTGTGATGCTGCAGAGTCCTGGTTCCCTGCTGCTCTGTGGAGAGGGGCTGGTTAATAGTTTGAGTGTGGTCAGATGTTCTCTGGAGGTCAGTGATACAGGAAGGTCTCTGCTAAGGCGGATGGGGAGTGGTGCTACCTTCCCCCGAGCCATGGAGCACTAATCTCCCCCTTCCAGCAGTGCCTGCTGGCATTGCACTTGGATCTTCTCTCCAGGAAGCAGGTGAGGAGAGCCGGAGGCTAGGCTCATGCAGGGCCCTCGGGGGGGAACTTCACAAAGGCAATAGCTGCCAGTTCCTTACAAAACTCCTCCAGCACCACCACTCCCTGGAAGAGGGTCATGTGATCCATCCTACAAGGGAACCAAAGCAAATGCTGAGTGCTCTGCACAGGTGGGAGAAGCTAGCTCCCTTGCCTGGAGAGCAGAATGTTCCACCACCCCATGCAGAAGGGGAAGGGTGGGAGCCAGTGCCCCAGCCCATCTCATGTCTATCCCAGAAAGCTTAGCACAAGCACAGGGCAGGAGTGTTACCAAAAAACCCTGAGACTGCTCGTACTTAGTTCCCTGCCAGCCAAATGTATCAAGCATACTGGAGTGGGGCCCTGTGCTGAGATGAGGGGAGTTTCCTTGGCATTAGAGGGCTATCATATCCCTGAGGCTTAATGTCTGCTAAGACAGATTACGCTGCAGGGCACCAGTTGATGGTACCCCAAGACAAATACAAGCACTTACTGCTCTTCAGGGACCAGCCCCATTAACTGTCTCCGGACCAGCAGCAGCTTGGCTGAGAACTGAGACACCCGCTGGATTCTCTGCATCAGATCTCCAATCACCTAGGGAGGAGGTGAGAATTAGCTCCCTGCAGGTGGAGAGGTGCCCCCACAGCTCTGGGTTCAGAGCATTCCATACATACATCCTTTCCCTGAGTCCAGGACTCTACTCTGGACCCACTCAGCCTACAGGTGTTGGCAGCTTCACGCAAGGGTGAGGGGCTTATTTTTGCAGTTATCTCCCTCCCCCTACGTTCCACACTAACATCTACATGAACCTCTATGCCCCATCAAGGACTTGGCATGGGGAGAAGTTACCCTGATGAGTACAGAGAAGAGTGTCCTGCAGCCAGGAGCGAGGTTCAGGTAGGGGTCCAGGAGGTATTCATGGAGGTGTGGGTGCGGGAAGAGGGCCAGGCGGGACAGCACTGATGTCATTTGTAGGTTCAGTCCGTAGGGCTGCAGAACATAGACAAAATATGAGATCGCTCCCTTGAAGGACCTTCCCAGAGGCAGTGGTTCTCAAACTTTTGTATTGGTGACCCCTTTCCCACAGCAAGCCTATGAGTGTGACCTTCCCCCCCCCCCGTAAATTAAAACCATTTTTTTATATGTTTAACACTATTATAAATGCTGGAGGTGAAGCAGGGTTTGGGGTGGAGGCTGCCAGCTGGCAACCTCATGTCTCCCTCATTCATTTAGAAATAGGAAAATAAGAGCCTGAAACTACCTTCCAGTGAGGCAGATCTCTGGTATTACAGGAGCACCCACAAACCCTAATCAGGATCAGGGCCTACTCCAAAGAGCTTACAGTCTAATTTGATGGTGACCGGTGCTCCTGGGGGCAGCTATCTGCTTTTGCAGGTCACCGGCAGGGTCACAGAAGTCACAGTAACCAAGGTCTACAAAGCTGAACACATGTCTCTCCCTGCTGAGGCTCAGCTTCAGTTCAATAGTTGCATTTCCCCATCGACTTGGTCGAAGCCTGGGGGGGCGGAAATGGGGAGGATCAAGGATCGCAGTCCTGTGTTGTGGTCACTAGCTGATACCTTTGTATCCTACAGAATGGCTAGATGCTCACTGGTTACCCCACAGAGGAAGCCCTGCCTCCAGCAGAGTACAGCAGAGAGTGCTGGCACTCCAGCTCCTAGCTAGGACTAAGATTTCCTGGGCTCAAAACAAGGCTGCAGTTTTCACTTTACCTGATCCAGGATCCGTGTCATACGGTCAAACAGCACCTTCAGGAAGTGGCCCTCATAAAATGCTGCTTGTGGGTCACAGGGCTCCAGAGGTTTTGGTGCCTGAGGCCAGTGCCATGAGGATATGTTAGCGGAGCATTCCTGAAACTGACACAAGCAGCATGAAGAAGGACAAAGTGCTCTCTCAAATTCTGAGCAGACTTCAAATGTGTTCTTAACTCTAAAACTAGGCTGGGTGTGGGAGGCAGACACAGGTGCTCTGGCAATAGAGCTGGGACTGTTAAAGATCAAAGGCATTATATCTCCACTTAGAATGGGACAGGGAATCCCAGGCTGAGAGGGAAAAGAAAGACTTTGAAACCCTACTGGCCACCCTGTCTGAGCAGTGTGTATGCCAGGTCGAGGGCAAAGTGAGTGCTGTGTGTGGCAGGTAGAATAGTCCTGATGGGGGGTGGGAGCAGCAGAGAATTTAGGGGGCACAGGGCCCCCATCAATGACCTACCAGCCTTAAGGCATCGTGCACATAGGTGTCATATCCTGCCTCCTCCAGGTAGGAGGAGGTCTTTGCTTCATCAGGAACAAGGCCCAGGAAGCTGAAAGAGAGAAGCCAACAGGAGCTGGTACTCAGTGCAAATCTCTCCCTAGGCTGATGTTGCCCAGGCCTGGGGCGGGGCGAGTGCAGCAGATGCAGAATGTGCCTGGCCTACTAGGACTGATATCCCAGCTCCTAATGTGGTCTCCCCAATAAGGCACTCAGCCTGTGCCTTACAGCAGGCACCAGCAAACCCCGTGTTACTGCTGGTCCTGAAGCTACCCAGCCGCAGGCTAGGTAAGATGTTCCGAGCTTTCTAGAAGGGCTGGATAGGCAATGCCTATTAGCTTTAGGCTAGTAAAAGCTCTGGGGCTGGTCTCCTGGTAACAATGTACCAGAAAAACACTGTCCGTAGATGGGATGCCCAACAACGAGCACGTGTGGGGTCTTCCTTTGCAGTTCAAAGTAATAGCCCAATTTATGTGAGCCAGAGGGTTGGATGGGGCGCATCATGGCTACCAATATGGGAAAGGGTCTAGCCTTTTATGGAAGGCTTCTGGGTAGGGCAGGATGCAAGCTGTCCAAAACTCAGGGAGTGGGGTTTTTCAGAAGTTTGGGTATTTTTGAACTTGCTTTCATTCCAAACAGCAAAATAAGGTGTTCCTGAAATTAACTACCAGACCTCCCAGCCCAGGCATGTTCCCTGGAGCAGGGAGCCTACCAGTCCACAGAGCCCTTGTGGAATTGCACTGAGTTCTTCTCTACCTTGCCCTTCATGCATCTGGGTTCCCCAAAGCCACGAGCTAGCCTGTGGAGGGGAGGCAAAGAGGCAAATATGTGCTGGACAATCATTCGTGATTCTTAGCTCACGCAGCCCTACCTGAGAACAATTTCATTCACATCTGTCTTCTCGTTAGGCCTGGCAGGCCCCCGGTGGGAGGATGGCATTGGCTTTTTACATGTCCGGAAGCCTATACCTGGAAATTCATCGGTGAAATAGGGATCTTCCTCCAGCTCCCTGCAAGGCCAGGAACAGGCGTTACATTGCAGCCCCAGCTTGTGCCCACCAGGTTCTGCGCTTCCCACTTCTGTCCACTTACAGTGTGTCCTCGCAATGGTCCTGCTCATGGGTGCTCCGCTCCTCCTGCCCTGGCTGGCTGCGCAGGATGTAGCTCCGCTCCTCCAGGTTTCTCAGCACAAGGCTGTACACAATGTGCTCATGGGGTTTCCGGAGCAGCTCCTCAAACAGCCTCAGGGTAGCGAGGCTGATCTACAGGGACAGAACCAGGGGTCAGTTGTGGGACCGGTCTTTAAAACTCCCCTGAAAAGCATTCACCACTAAAACGTAGCCACCACTACCATTCTATCCCAGCACTCCCTGCAGGGCCATCTCAGTTCATAATCCCTTCCAGGGTTGATACATGGAGTTCCCATGCAGTTAGCTGGGGGAGGGTCTTTCAGAGGAGACCTTAAAAACAAGGGATCCTGTCTGCTGGGTGAGGACATTAAAGATTTCATAGCATGGCTGACAGGAGCAGGAGTTTGCCCCAGCATTCTACTGTTGTACAGCATGCAATGTGCAGGGGCGCTGCACCCCAGAGGTGGCTGCATTCCACAGGTGCAGTAAATCCAGAGTGTTTGAAGTGGTTTGGGATCTTTCTAGATGAGAGATACTGATATTAATATCAGTTATTAATATCCCAAAGCCATCACACAGCAACACTGCCTGACTGCTCAGGGCCAAGAGTGAAAAATCCTGTATCTGACAAACTGCCTGGGGAATTTAAGGAGACCGAATACAATAACCTGGCCTGGAACTAAGGCAGGACACCTCAACTCCTACCAAGGTGCCACAGCATCACTAATGATCTCAAGGGAGCAGGGCCTTAGGTCTGGACATGGTCCCCCCTTGAAATTCCAAGAGGGAGTTTAGCTAATGAGAGCCGAGTCTGGGGTCCCAAAGGAAAGGGAAAAGGAGGGGAGGGGGAGAACCATGGGAGGCTGCGGGTGGCAGCTCTGCATGCAGACACAGCCTCACCTCATCAGACAGGTGGTTGCAGTGCTCTATCAGCTGAGAGCGTAGGAGGTGCTGCTGTGCAGAGTCAGTGATGGCTTCTGGCTGCCTCTCTGTGCCCAGCAGGAATGTCACCAGTTCCCGGAGCAGGGCAGGAGCACTAATCTGCCTCACCATGGCTGTCAGCATTGCAGTAGAGGTGAGGATGCCAAGTTCAGACCTGTCAAATAATGGCAGAGGGAAAGTAATTACTGCTGCTCATCTCCATGCAGCTGCTCGGAGCACACATGCAGCACAGTGAACTGTGCGCTCTAAAGAGAACATCTCCACCCAAGAACCTCTAGGGACTTTACAAATAAAGCTCTATACCCTGCCCCGTGGTGGGCCAGTAGCACTGTCCCCATCGATGGATGGGGAGACCGAGGCATGAAGACAGGAAATGACAGAGCTGGGAACAGAACCCAGGACTCCGCGCTTTGCTCAGACCTAAGATGTCACTGCCTCTGGGACACTAAGAGCAATGTGAAAATAATGCAGAGTGATATCTGGAAAGCCACCTACTCCAGCTCACAAGGAGAAAGTCTCTCTTTAGAAATATGCATGGGCAACTGCAGCAGATGGAGGGCATATGAAGAGGTCAAGGAAATATCAAAGCCAGAGGCTAGACTGGGCAGTTCAAGTGTAATGAGTGTATGCAGGGACAGAAAAGAGTCCAAAATAATACCGAAGGCCTGGAAATGCAGAGCCAAGTGTGAAACTCCATCTTGTCAGGGGCCAGCTCTGCTCCTGCCTGTGGAGGACCCTGAGCAGCGCACCAGCTCTATGAGCTGCAGGAGAAGGCTTAGAACCAACCACTGGCCTCAGCACTTCCCTCTCTTAGCATGGACAAAATAAGGCACATCGCTTCAAATGACAGCTAAAGGCATTAGAAAACTGTGCCAAAAACACTCCCTGCGACAGAGGAGATCTGATTCTTCCCTAAATCCATTTTATTTTATACCCGCACGCTCAGATGTTCCTGGCTTTCCCTCTATTGAACTTTCTCTGCTTCCCAGACTCAAATTCCCCAGCTTGCAGACAAGGTTAGAATCCCGCCAGTGGAATGTTCCATTATGCCGGCAGGCGTTTGGCTTTTACACTAAAGTGTAAGAAGAGAATTTTTTTTTTTAAAAGACAGACTAACTTCCACAAAAGTTTGAAAGGGATGCACATGGCTGGGGAGCTGCCTCCTCGCAGGAGTGCTATGCACCCCTCTGATCTACCACACCTGCCATCCCAGGATCACAAAGAACTTTTCCAATGGGAATTATTTAAGCCTCACAAGCCAGAATGCAGCATGAACTCCATTCTACAGATGGGGAAACTGAGGCACCAAAGCAGTGACTCGTTTAACACCAGCTGCTGCCATAGCCAGAACCCAAACCCAGAGGTCCAGACTCCCCAATCCCTACTTTCACCACAAGACTAACCCACTTCCCTCCCCCTCATGCCTGGTGTGGGTGCCAGACCAGCTCAGCCTCACACCATGGACATCCCCCCAAACCCAGTTTACACAGGAAGCTGGTGAACAGCCAGTTGGCCCCTCAGCCTGTGTGACACATGTACTCACATCTGCAAGAGCTGTGGCTGCAGAATCCCCTGGAAGAGCTTTTCACCAATGGCCTCTGTTACAGCATCTGCAACTACCTGATGGTCACAAATTAAGAGTCAGTAATGAGCTACCAGTTGCCTGATATTCCCATGACTCCCCTAGTTCCTTCCTGCATGACAAGAGCAGAGACTCGGGGGGTGGGATAGCTCAGTGGTTTGAGCATTGGCCTGCTAAACCCAGGGTTGTGAGTTCAATCCTTGAGGGGGCCATTTAGGGATCTGGGGCAAAAATTGGGGATTGGTCCTGCTTTGAGCAGGGGGTTGGACTAGATGACCTCCTGAGGTCCCTTCCAATCCTGATATTCTATGAATCTATGACTCTGCTGCTCCTTAAAGTTTCTCTCAGCGTGGTGGGGACTGACATACATGGGAAGCGACTGCCACGTCACTCCTTGGTCAGGGCTGACACATGCCGTGTGGTTCTTGCACACACAGAGACTCTGGAGCCAAGTGACCCAGGCACTCCTATTAAAGGAAAGCATTTCCTGGTAGCTAGAAGATGGAGACAGAACATGCTGGGGTCTTCTTAAATGGGTTCAACCACAAACCACTAGACTGGGGTCATGCAGGAAGGCTCCCACTTTTTAACATGTCCCCATATGGACAAAATAATCCTGTTGTGACCTTTGCAAATACATGTTGTTATCTTGCAGCTATGTGTGGCAATGATGCATCACGGTGATTTTCACAATATCACACAAGGATTGCAATATCATCGTACTCTGATGCAGTTTCACAGAGATCTTCAGCTGTGTGGCAAGCTGGACTCTCAGACAGGCCTGATGAAATTGAGGCTGTCCTAACATTTAAGAACACGTGGCAAACCCAAAATCCAAGCCACAAAAGCCAGGATGTAATAGTCCAGGAGCCACTGAAGTTGGTGGATCTCAAAAAGGCACCAAAGGTTGTCTTCTCCAAGGAGAATTTTAGCCATAAGTCAAGACAAGACACAGTTTGGTTCCCAAAGGCCCATCTACCATCACATCCATGGCTCATAAGTCCATTAGTAGTGGCCTAATGAGGCTGTCTACCAAATACAGGAAGAAAACAGGTGGCCTGGCCTGAGTTCTAGCAGAGATATGAGTGAGGCTGCCTTACGCTGCAGCAGTCTAACTCCACTGCCAGCAGCTCATCTGGTAAAGGGCACAAAATGTTTAGCTGTAGGTGGGACAAGTGTAACTCAGCCAGTTTCCAATCCACTCTTGTAAATCAGTGGCTCTTTGGAGGTGCCTAAAACTGCATCTAAGGTTGGGCTAAGACTTCCAGTTAGGATTCCTTAAATATCAGGCTTCCCACATATGTAAATGTGTATTTGTCTCTTGAGAGAGAGAGACTTGCACCCTCTGGGGCAGAGGAGATGGGAATGCTCGTCTAAGACAATAAGCAATGGGGAGGAGTCACTTATGTCTTACCGGGTGGGCCTCTCTCATGAGGTGATCACAGTAATCTAACCAGCTAAAGAAAGCATCCAGGCTCCCCTTTCCTGGGAAGGAGGCCTCATCGGCAGAGTTATTCTGCAACCTGCAAAGAGATCAAAGGGGGTGAAGGACATTGTAGGAATCAACTCCAAAGCATCATCCAAGGGCTACAGTATGTTTGGGGGGGAGGGAGGCCTCCTCTCTGGAGTGACAGCAGTAAAGGAAGCTGCTGGTTCTCTCAACATCCTCACTTGGCCCATACAGCATAGAACACCAGAGATGGAAAACACCCGAGAGAGCAACAAGGCCAGCAGCTCTCATCTGGGGTCATGACTCACCAGGGGTGGTGGTGGTGACCACCCTGCTCTTCCCATATTGCTAAGTGGGAAGGGGGTCCCTGTAGGGAAGAGGTGGAGGACCTCTGCTAGACTGTACCCCCTGAGCCAGGGCAGACACCACACTGTCGCTATTCTCCAAGAACTTACCCAGCTTGAGCCATCCCATAGTCCCCCTTGGAGATGATACCACAGTCTAGCAGGCCTCACTATGTACCCATCCTGCGAGGTGCTCAATCCTGCCAAGGTCCAGGGGAGCTTGGGTGCAGCCCCTGCAGAACAGATCTCACTCGTCTTCTCTGGGCCCAATACTTCCAGGGAGAAGCCCAGGAGTGAAAGCTGGTAGGGTCATTCCCTTGTGGTGAGGCTGGGAATGGATTTACCCCAGGCTCTCATTATCTTCCTACAGACCCACCAACGTCCTACCTCCAGCTGACTCTCTCTAGGGAGAGGATATCTGCAGGGTCGGCTGAAGTAGGGGCGGCATTGTACAGGTCACAAAGGTGATCAGTCACCAGACAGCACAGGGCGCTGTTCTGTACCAGGTACGTGGCAGCTGCCTGCTGAGCGACACTCATGAGAAGCAGCAGGTTTTCCTGAGCTTTTAGTGCAAGCCTGCTCTTCTGCCAGAGAGAGAGAGAGAGGTGTTACTACAGCAGCAGCCCTGCCTATTCCCCTCCCCAGCTCACGGGTGAATGGAACACCGAGGTTGACGCTAACCTGCTCTATCCCACTGACAGGCAGGATCATTCCCTACTCGCTGCCTGGCACCCCTCTGCTGTCCCCTGCCCCATTTCGGTACCTGGCTCTTGCACAAGTTGATTAAGGAAGTGATCAGATTGTTTTCCTTTCTCAGAGGGGAGGAGCTGGAGACAGAATTCTTTGGTTTTCCTGCCAGGCTAGCGCAGGGTGCATCACCCACAGAGCTCTCTCTCTCTGGCTCAGGAGATGCAGTCAGGGCCCCGTTGGTAGCCAAGCTCTCTTCCTGGCTGCTGCCAGCATCTCCCTGTGGGCTCCCAGTTAGAAGATTCTTGCCCTTGAGAATAAAGAAAAAGGAGAGAGAGAGCAGTTAGCATCATTGCAATAGTGCTTCCAGCATTGACACAAATGGGACTGATCCCAGGTACAGACAGCGAATACTAAGAAAGCTAGATAGGTGCAATATGTACCCGAACATACCTAGATATGTATATACTGCAAAAACACCTAGAAATGCTCAGCTAAGCAGATAATAAAACAACACAGCACGTTTTAACGGAGGATCTCAAAACCCTTTGCAAACATTAATCTTCACAACTCCCTGATGTGCTGTAGGGAAGTAAATATTATCCCCATTTCACAGATGGGGGAGCTCAGAGAGGTGAAGAGATATGTTTAAGGTCACACAGCAGGTCAGGGGTGGTGCTAAGGAGAGAGTCCAGGAATCCCAGATCCTAGTCCTCCGCTCTAAACTGCCTGATCAATGACTCTGGAAAATGAAGCCTTTAGTCACAGAACAGATACAGCAGTGACAAAGCAAGCTTCACACATCCCATCAAGCCATCTGGGAGAGATGCATCCCCCTTCTCCGCCCCCTGCACCAGGGAAAGGGGTGCCGAGCCTCCATGTCCCCTGGTCTCTTTGTTAAGACTACCAATCAAGGGGCCAATTAGTGGCAACCACAATGGCTATTTTCGTGGCAGGAACATCAGCTCACTGGGAACTGGACTGAGATTGACTCGCTTCACCCAGGGCCCCCCAAACAGCTGTCAAATGGAAACAATCCAGGTCACCACCAGCACTGGATTAGACATTTTTCCTAATTTTAAAGAAGCCAGCAAGATTTCAGCTGTGGAGGAGCTCAGCATCATCACTGGGCATGCAGCACCGGGGCAATGTCCGTGATATATGGAGGTGAGATTTGTCTGCTTGCTACCCTGTGGAAATCCCATTATTCAGACAATCGTGCAATCATTCCCTAGCAGGTCAGCCTATTGGTCCCTGAAGCCTGCCTCCAGCAGTGGCCAATACCTTGCTGTAAGGAAGAAATGGCATGCGGGTGCCAATGAGGGCTTCTTACCTCCAGAATGTACGTGAGCAGAGCAGGATCCTGCTTGATCTTTGCACACAGAACAGCAGCAAACTGTAATTCTTCCTTCTCACTAGCAGAGCCTAGCGCATCACTGCCGAACTGAAGGAGCTTCTGTGGAAGGACACAGGGCTTGGTCAGCCTTCACAGTAATAAAAGAGGGGGTAGAACTGAGCTTAAACAGTGCTGAAAGGGGTTTGCTGGCATTGGGGATGGGCATTCTTCCCTCCTCACTAGAGGCTGTTGGGCACACTCCCCAGGAATATGTGCCCATATCAGTCATACAGACACTGATATACAAAAGAGCAGGCAATAGCCCACATTGTGGGAAAGTAATATTAAAGCAAAGTATTCATCATTGCCCTGAACCCTGTATAGTGATTTACACCACTATCAATTGGGTATCAGAATGGTCATATTTTATACCCACTCTGCACTGGTGTACATTGCACCAGGTGCATGCACTGGGGAACTGAGCCCTCCATGGGGTTTACATTAACATCATTGCTCATCAGAAACGTAGGCCATCAGACCACTAAGTGAGGAAAGGTAGGACGAGCGCTGCAAGGAGCACACTTTACATTGCCTGCAGTAAGACAGCTCAGAAAGCAGCTATGACAAGCCAAAGAGAAAGCAGAAGCCGCGCTCACCTGAACAGGTCTGTGCACATTCAGATAGTGCAACAGTGGATGCTGCACCTGTCCCAGGACTCTGCTGAAGAAGAGGAACACCTGCTGCCTCATGCCTGGAGGATACTGAGAGCAAGGAGAGAGAGAGAGAATCATAGAATCATAGAATATCAGGGTTGGAAGGGACCCCAGAAGGTCATCTAGTCCAACCCCCTGCTCGAAGCAGGACCAATTCCCAGTTAAATCATCCCAGCCAGGGCTTTGTCAAGCCTGACCTTAAAAACCTCTAAGGAAGGAGATTCTACCACCTCCCTAGGTAACGCATTCCAGTGTTTCACCACCCTCTTAGTGAAAAAGTTTTTCCTAATATCCAATCTAAACCTCCCCCACTGCAACTTGAGACCATTACTCCTCGTTCTGTCATCTGCTACCATTGAGAACAGTCTAGAGCCATCCTCTTTGGAACCCCCTTTCAGGTAGTTGAAAGCAGCTATCAAATCCCCCCCATTCTTCTCTTCTGCAGGCTAAACAATCCCAGCTCCCTCAGCCTCTCCTCATAACTCATGTGTTCCAGACCCCTAATCATTTTTGTTGCCCTTCGCTGGACTCTCTCCAATTTATCCACATCCTTCTTGAAGTGTGGGGCCCAAAACTGGACACAGTACTCCAGATGAGGCCTCACCAATGTCGAATAGAGGGGAACGATCACGTCCCTCGATCTGCTCGCTATGCCCCTACTTATACATCCCAAAATGCCATTGGCCTTCTTGGCAACAAGGGCACACTGCTGACTCATATCCAGCTTCTCGTCCACTGTCACCCCTAGGTCCTTTTCCGCAGAACTGCTGCCTAGCCATTCGGTCCCTAGTCTGTAGCTGTGCATTGGGTTCTTCCGTCCTAAGTGCAGGACCCTGCACTTATCCTTATTGAACCTCATCAGATTTCTTTTGGCCCAATCCTCCAATTTGTCTAGGTCCTTCTGTATCCTATCCCTCCCCTCCAGCGTATCTATGAATCTACCACTCCTCCCAGTTTAGTATCATCCGCAAATTTGCTGAGAGTGCAATCCACACCATCCTCCAGATCATTTATGAAGATATTGAACAAAACCGGCCCCAGGACCGACCCTTGGGGCACTCCACTTGATACCGGCTGCCAACTAGACATGGAGCCATTGATCACTACCCGTTGAGCCCGACAATCTAGCCAGCTTTCTACCCACCTTACAGTGCATTCATCCAGCCCATACTTCCTTAACTTGCTGACAAGAATACTGTGGGAGACCGTGTCAAAAGCTTTGCTAAAGTCAAGAAACAATACATCCACTGCTTTCCCTTCATCCACAGAACCAGTAATCTCATCATAAAAGGCGATTAGATTAGTCAGGCATGACCTTCCCTTGGTGAATCCATGCTGGCTGTTCCTGATCACTTTCCTCTCATGCAAGTGCTTCAGGATTGATTCTTTGAGGACCTGCTCCATGATTTTTCCAGGGACTGAAGTGAGGCTGACTGGCCTGTAGTTCCCAGGATCCTCCTTCTTCCCTTTTTTAAAGATTGGCACTACATTAGCCTTTTTCCAGTCATCCGGGACTTCCCCCGTTCGCCACGAGTTTTCAAAGATAATGGCCAATGGCTCTGCAATCACAGCCGCCAATTCCTTCAGCACTCTCGGATGCAACTCGTCCGGCCCCATGGACTTGTGCACGTCCAGCTTTTCTAAATAGTCCCTAACCACCTCTATCTCCACAGAGAGCTGGCCATCTCTTCCCCATTTTGAAGTAAATTGTCAGTTAAGTAACATTCCCCTTCAGTGCCACAGGAAACATGATACAAAGTATCTGAGCCAATCCTTATGCCACAGATAGATAGCCAATGTATGGAACATGACAGAGGTAAGAGCTGCAAACATCTAGCCATACGCACCCTATATACTGCAGCTAATGCAGAAGACTAAAACTCCACAAGGGTATTCAAGTTTACATGGGCAGGGAAATTCCAAGAACAGAGGGTTTTGAAGCTCTTGGAGAACAAGATTTAGTTTATTATTGATTTTATCTCTTTTCTATTATCAGATAATCTGGTACAGCTACACTGTCCCTGCTTCTGGCAACCATGAAGAAAGTGTGAGAGAAACAAACTGGAGTCCAGCTGAACTGTGAGAAAATTAAAGGGAATCCTCTGGGATAACGTTAAGACAAACACTTAGGTTTTATTTACAAATAGGTTTTCCCAAAGGCAGTGTGAATACACGTTTTCACAACCCAAATGTAAGCGAAAACTGGTTTGGTTTAGGAAGTAAATATTTCCCTTCAGCACTGGTAAAAACCATTTGAGCACTGAAAAACAGACTAGAAACGGCAGTGAAAATGACCAGACTTAGATCACTATCCCAGCTCAGCACAATGCATAAAAATACCCTAAGTAATGCTTTGCCCTTCCAATGTACATTTTAAGGCTCTCATAGTGTTTCACAAACATTATTAATTAATTTATATTGCTTAATGAACTTCACTTGAATAAATTAAGCTTCTCAGCTGCCCTATGGTGAAAAAAATCAATTAGATTATTTTTTCATTTTCAAAAGGTTTGTTGTTATTCATCAGTCCTACAACATGATGAAATGGAAAAAACAAGCAAGAATGAATCATCGTAGAGATAAAGGGTAGACAGTACTGAGTGTACCTGATTTTTATAAACAAAGCTGTAGCTCATGAAAGCTTATGCTCAAATAAATTGGTTAGTCTCTAAGGTGCCACAAGTACTCCTTTTCTTTTTGAGAATACAGACTAACACAGCTGCTACTCTGAAACCTGACAATAAAGACTAATATTTCCAGTTACTGTTTCCTTGTTTTCGTGTTTGGAAAAAAAAAAAAAGATCATTTATAGCACAATAAGCCAAGTTATTATGAGTAACACAGGCTAGTATGGTTATAATTTTTAGCTTTTGATATTTACTCTGATAAAGTCCTTTTAAAAACACTTCTTTCCTGCAAATCAAAGGATTGATCCTGCAACCCTCAGTCATGGAGCACAAGACTACTCACCTGAGTAAACACTGCTCACATCAGCAAAGGTTGTAGCATACGGAGAAAATTTTCAAAAAGTGCCTAAGTGGTTTAGGAGCCCAAGTCCCATTTCCAAAAGTGAAGCAGGTGCTTAGGGAGCCTACGGGTATGTCTACACAACAAGTGCTGCAGCTACGTCACTGTCACGCTTAGTGCAGACACTTGCTACAATGCCAGAAACACAGAAGTAAATCCAACCCCGCGAGAGGCAGTAGCTAGGTGATCAGAAAAATTCTTCAGCCTAATGGTGTCTTACCGAAGTCTTTGAAGGTTGTGAATTTTTCACACCACTAAGCGATGTCGCAAGGTTGACTTAAATTTTAGATGTAGACCAAGCCTTAGGTTAGATCTTCACTAGAATCACTGCAGCTTAGCCGCAGTAACACTTCAGTGTGGACACTGACTACAGCAATGAGAGTGATTCTCCCATCGCTGTAGTTAATTCACCTCCCCAAAAAGCAGTGGCTAGGTCAATAGAAAAATTCTTCCATCAACCTAGTGCTGTCCACTCTGGGGGTTAACTACATCACTCAAGGGTGTGGATTTTTCACACCCCTGAGCAACGTTGCTAGGTCAACCTAACTTTTTAGTGAAGACCTGGCCTTAGTCTCACTGAAAGTCAATGGGATTTAGGCTCCTAAGGTGCTGTCTAGCGTAGAATTTGAAAGGCGTTATCTAATGTATATTAACTGTGTAGTGCAGACAAGGCCATGTTCCTAACAGGCTGCTTACACCTTCCAAATCCTAGTCTAGCCTAAGTGGCTTCTGACACTGGGACTTCAGACTCCTAAATCACAGATATGCTTTGAAAAATTTTACCCTGGTCTCAGTTCCTTAAAATTATACTTCTTTGCTGTGAACAAGTCAGACTTTATAGTCACTGAAATCAACTAAAAACACAGTTCCACCACTAGGGCAATGAGTGGTGTTTGTCTTGGGCTTGTGCATGGCTGACCGGGGGAGGAACACGGTGTACACACCTCTGCTTTTCCCAGAGTGCTGAGGGTCTCCAAGATTTTGTGCTGCAGCAGGTATTCCAAACAAGGCCCTGTCTCCCCGGCTGGATGCTGCTTCTCCTCATACACCAGAATGTCCAGCATCTGTTTCAGGCGCCAGGGGATATCGGTCTCCTTGACTGGGGTGTTTTCATCTAAAGAGAAGGCATATACAAATCCCAATCAAAACAGGCTACATGCTTGGTAAAACAGGCATTAAGGCTTTAGCTCCATTTGACTATCAAACTTACACGGGCCCTTCCAACCCAAAGCATCTTCACATACACTCCCCCTCCCGTAACTCTGAGATGGAATGTGGCAGCTCTTTTAATAGTGCACAGCATATCCTGAAACTGACATGGCTACAACAACACAGCAATGCTATAATAGTTTGGGTCAGGAAGTGAATAGCAAGCATATCCAACAGAAGCTGGTCAGAATGTAATTACCTACAAAGCAATTTAGTCAAGATCCTGGAGCCAACACCCTTACACTTGTAAAAGCATCATGGGATTATTAAATCCACAAGCGGCCAGGACTTCAGTTTTACGTCTCAGCTATAAACCAGCACCTCTGTGCTGGGGAACTGGTTTGTTACTGCGTCAGTGTGAAGTTGTGAGCTCAGGGATAGGCCCAAACAGATCAGTTTGCAGGACTAGGGCCAAAGCTCAAAAGAGCTGATGAGATCAGAGCCTGGAGCAGCACAGTCACAGGCCTTACACTAACCAAGACCCAAATGAAACATAAAGACTAAGAAAAAAATCCAGTAAAGCTAACGCTTTACTCATAATTCCTACTGCAGGCATCAGGTCCCGGGGCACTGTTCCACACCACACAGGAGTGCCCTTTTTAGAAAGATTTTCTCTACATTCTAAGACACACTGGAAGACTCCAAAATGGTGAATTTAAAACCTTCCCCTCCCTGTAACAGAAGAACAAGTGGGTGTTTTCTTTTCGGGGACTGGTAGAACCCAGAGGAAGTTAACAAAAGCAAATTTTTAAAAAATCCTCATGCCTCTCAATTGGAGATCTTTTGTAAACTAAGTTTGAACTTTGGGGAAACGTTAATAGGTTTCACACACACACCAAAAAAACCAAAACAATTAATTTCATCCCAGACCTATGTATTTAAAAAAAAAAATCTGAAAATTCTATTTTGCAGAGGTGACTTTAAAACATATCCTCCCAGCCCCTCCCCTTTGGCTTCCAAGCTGTAATTTTCACTTTGATATTGATCTCTGCAGCACCCCAAGCAATTAGGACGCTGGTTTAAAAATTATTATCCCTAGAATAGAGCCCTTGATGGACAAGCCAAGAACAAAGGTCAACATTTCTCAGACTTGGGAGTCTAAGATTAAGCTCATAAATCCATATTTAGGTATTTAAATAAAGTTAGGGGCCTAAGGCCTTCTCAACACACCACAACTGTACCAGTATAACCATGCCTCTAAGCGTACAGCAGTACAACTCCCTCTAGTGTGGATGCAGTTACACTAGTATGGACTAAGCTATACTGGGATAAGCACTTTATGCCAGTGTACCTGTATGCGCTGTTAGGGCTGCAGCAGTGTAGAATATCAGTTACAAAAAAAACCTAGTACAAAATCTCTGTGTAGATCAGACCCAATTTAATATCAAGTATAAGAATCGCTGGCCATAGCATTTAGTGCAGGAGCAGTCCAGCCATTCTCAAAATGTTGGGAGAGCATCTCTGAGCAACAGAGACTGATTATTATAAGGCTCTGGCCCAGAGTATCAGATATCTACAAATACCCAGGGACGCAACCTCACAGCCCTCATGGTGGGAAGAAGCAATACCTGTGTGCCATATATAGAACAGCGGGTAGACATTTTAAGGTTGCAGGCAACATTTCTCCTGATAGGGTTTTTATGGGCTATTCAGCAGGCCTTTCATTATCACTCACTGGAACGTCCTGCACTGACCCCAGGAAGAGGATGATGGAGACATTAACATTTTGCTCTACTCTTGGGCCAAGGCTCTCAAAGCATTTTGTACACGTTAATGAATTAACCCCAACGAACGCCCAGCTCCTTGCCCATGTATATCTCATTGTCTCCCCTTTACAGCGAGGGAAACTGAGGCAACACAGAGTTAAAAGGATTTCTCCAAACTCTCACAGTGCATCAACTTGGAGAGCTGAGAAGACAACCCCCAAGTCCTAACTTGCAAACTCCCCGCCCTAAAAGTGAGGCAACGCTCCTTCCCAGAGCTGGGAATAGAACCCAGGAGCCCGGACTCCCAGCCTCGCCCACCACCTACCTGTGGTCTCTAGGTAGTAGTGAGTGAGCCCTTTCCAGTGCTCGGTGAATGCCTCCAGCAGGTCAATGATGGGCTCCTGCTGCAGAGAGGAGGGTGCAGGCGTCAGCAAATCGGGAGAGCCCTTTGTTCATATCTACCCACGGGCCCGGGTCACAGGAGAATCTCCCTACTTCAGACCCTCCCCCCATCCTCTTAGCATCCTGCTCCCTGGGAACCCGCGTCCCAAAAGACATGGGGGTCAGGAGAGGAGACCCCAAAGCAATGTGCCATAGGGCCCCTCTCCCGACCCTGAACCCCATATCCCCTGGGACATCCTTGCCCCAAGCCCCCAGTTCTCCCCCTCCACAGAGCACCAATCTCCTGAACCCAATAGCATCTTGGGGCCCAACCAGGGTACCCTGTAGGATGCCCCCAGCCCTAGTTCCCTGTGGCCTCATCTCCTGACACCCAATGACACCCTTGGGGGCCCAACTCAGATCCTATTTCTAGGTTCTTGGGTGACCCCCGAGTCCCCTTGGCTGCCCCATCTCAGGACCCCAGTGACACCTGGGGGGGTCCATCCTGGGTGCCCCCCCCAAGTACCTTGGCCCCGGGAGTTGCCCTCCAGCCCCAATTCTCTAGGCTCCCCCCATCCCCTGACCCTCAACGACACCTGGGGGATCAATCCCGGGCACCCCCCAACCCTGACCCCAGGAGGCGCCAGCTCCCTGGGAGCCCTCCCCCCATCTCCTGACCCTGACACCTTGGGGGGGGGGTCAATCCCAGGCGCCCCCCAACCCTGACCCCAGGAGGTGGCCCCCACAGCCCCCTGGGAGCCCCCCCGTCTCCTGACACCTGGGGGGTCAATCCTGGGTGTCCCCCAACCCTGACCCCAGGAGGCGGCCCCCCCAGCTCCCTGGGAGCCCCCCCATCTCCTGACACCTGGGGGGGGTCAATCCTGGGTGTCCCCCAACCCTGACCCCAGGAGGCGGCCCCCCCGGCTCCCTTGGAACCCCCCCCCATCTCCTGACACCTGGGGGGGGTCAATCCTGGGTGTCCCCCAACCCTGACCCCAGGAGGCGGCCCCCCCGGCTCCCTTGGAACCCCCCCCCATCTCCTGACACCTGGGGGGGGTCAATCCTGGGTGTCCCCCAACCCTGACCCCAGGAGGCGGCCCCCCCAGCCCCCTGGGAGCCCCCCATCTCCTGACCCCAACCGAACCCCACTCCCCGCCGCCCCCCGGGTCCCGCCCCCGAGCCCCCCCCCCCGCGCTAGCCGCAGCGCGCCCGGCCCGGCCCCCCCACCGTCTCCACCGCCCGCTGCAGGAAGGCGCCCAGGCGGCTGAACATGGCGGCGCCGGCCCGGCCCGCCGGGGGATCCCGGCCCGAGCAGGCGGAAGCGCGGACCCGGCGGCCTGTGCGGGGCGGGGCGGGGCGAGAGGCCTCCCGGCCCTGCGAGCGGGGAGACGGGGCGGCGCGGGGGGCGGGGCAGGCGCAAAACGGTGGGAGCTGGGGATCAGGGGGAGGGGTCGCTGGATATGGGGGAGCAGGGGGCTATGGGGGAGCTTGGGAAAGGGGTCAGGAGGGCATGGAGGATCTGGGGGCAGGGGGGATCTGGGGGAGGGGTCGCGGGGTATGGGGGATCTGGGGGTGGGGATCAGGAGGGTATGGGGGATCTGGGGGAGGGGTCGCAGGGTATGGGGGAGCAGGGGGCTATGGGGGAGCTTGGGGAAGGGGTCAGGAGGGCATGGAGGATCTGGGGGCAGGGGCAGGGGGGTATGGGGGAGGGGTCGCTGGGTATGGGGCAGCTGGGGGCTATGGGGGAGCTGGGGGAGGGGTCGCGGGGTATGGGGGAGCTGGGGGAAGGGGACAGGAGGGTATGGGGGAGCTGGGGGTGGGGTTGTGGGGTATGGGGGAGCAGGGGGCTATGGGGGAGCTTAGGGAAGGGGTCAGGAGGGCATGGAGGATCTGGGGGTAGGGCCAGGGGGGTATGGGGGAGCTGGGGGTGGGAATCAGGAAGGTATGGGGGAGCAGGGGACTATGGGGGAGCTGGGGGAGGGGTCGCAGGGTATGGGGGAGCAGGGGGCTATGGGGGAGGGGTCCTGGGGTCTGGGGGAGCTGGGGGTCTGGCAAGTATAGGCGAACTGGGTGAGGGAGTCATAGGACAGGAGGGTATGGGGGATGGAGTCAGGAGGACACAGGGTGACCCCCGCCACCCTTATTTTAAGATGTATTGAAAACGCATTAAAACTGATAAATACCATTTTAAATATTCAGGTTTCAGAGTAGCAGCCGTGTTAGTCTGTATCTGCAAAAAGAACAGGAGTACTTGCAGCACCTTAGAGACTAACAAATTTTATTAGAGCATAAGCATTCGTAATAATAAATAACAAATAAATTTGTTAGTCTCTAAGGAGCCACAAGTCCTCCTGTTTTTTAAACATTCAGTGGCTGCTTGTGCCAATTGCATTTTATGCTGGAGGGCAGCAGAACTGTGCCCTTGAGGGAAAAATCCACTGCTATGCTATGGAAAGTGGTGTTCCCCTAAAACGTCCTTTAAAGTAAAGCGCTCTCTCGTTTTCCATGTGGTTTCCCCTTATTTCCATCCAGCAGTGGATGTCTTATTTTTAAACTTAAAGAGATGGTGGGGTGGGGTAGGAGAACTGGGGATCCAGCCCTTTCATGCACCAGTTCTTTTCACCTCACCTGGGTTTTAATCTCACCCTGGGTCAGAACCAAAATGTCTGTTGAACCTCAGCCATGTTCCTAATCAATATTTCCCTATCACAAAATCACTGCACAAACCAGACTAAAGGAAACCCCCTCCAAGTATCGTCCATTTTACAAGATAAAAGGTGGGGTTTGAAACATTTATTTGACATGATAATTTGTTAAAAACAACCCAAAACCCCAGCAAAAAACAAACAAAAAAGACACCCCACCTCCCCAATCTAACCCTCACATCTTTCTGAATTAACAAGTTACACAAAATGTCAATTTAACATTTCCTCTCCCCCAGTCCCCCCAGTTTCCATTTGGTAAAAGCATGTTTTTAAAAAACTCAAGAACATCAGAAAAAATATTTCTACAATTACAAAACAAAATCCAATGCAAACAGTTGCTTTTAAACAAATAACAGTTCTCCTGCAGGGTTTGCAGCCCAAACATTGGAAATCAACAAATGGAAATCAACAAAGTCTGTTTTGCTTTAGATTACAGTCAGGTTCTTATAACCTGATCCTGTAAATTACTGATTTTGCATGAGCAAGCCCTTGTGAAACCCACTGGGCACTGTGTGGTATGAGTTCTTCTTTGTGCTCCACTGAGGATGGGAATCTCTTATAGCCCAGCAGGAGTGACTCCGGCTTTTAGCTCTGGAGGTGTCTGTTTCCATCCCAGGTGTGTTGGGGTGGCTGTCACACTGGGCCAACTGCAGCCTTGTTGACTTCAATATGGCTCTGGGCAGACCCAGGGGAAGGCAACTTTGATTGCGGATCAGAACCAGACAATGAAAGTGACGTGAAATTGATTTCCGTTGTCCAAGTCTTAGCCAAAGAACATAAATAATGATATGTTCTCTATATTTTGAAAAATTCTTTTCATCACCTAAGGTGTTATTTGTAACACAAGGCACTCCTTTATTCACAACAGATTACCTTGAAGCTGACTGAGTCCCTATAAAGATAAATACAATCAATGCTCCTGTGTTTCCACTATTCTCAATGCAGTTACTCTCATGCCACTTGCTGTAATGAAAGTTGTGTCCATGCCTCAGTCTTAAATATTCACTCGGCATCTGAGATTTCAGGCTTGGGAGAGAGTTACTAACCAGACTTTGCCCTTGCTCTGTTGCTGACTGCAGCAGATCTCGGACTGCTTTATGAAGGTGGGTCAGTCTCATTAGGTCTGTTTGACAGAGGGAGAAGCTGAGGGACACAGAGGGGAAGAGACTTTCCCAATGTTGTGGAGTGGCAGAGCCGAGGACAAAACCCAGCCGTCTTGACTCCCTGCCCTGTGCTCGATCCACTAAACCACAGTTGGCACTTACTGTTGTTCCACAGGGTATTAGCTCAATGGACACTGATGTTTCAAAAATAAGTGAATTGCCTGTCTCTAAATGGCTATATGATTGTCTCTCCTCTTAGTAAAACCTGTGATCACCACAGACCACTTTAAAAGCAGCTGCCACACTTCTCAGTCCCCACTCATGTTCCCTTTCAGTCCCAACATGCGGGCTTCCAAGAACAGCTGGCCAGAGGAGGCACTTCAGGGTAGCATGCATACCTCCTGGCAGCCTCCTCCTCCCCTCTAGACTCCTGGGTGTATGGCCAGTGTACCCAGTTAGAAGCACTCTTCTTCTGATTTCAGACATGCCCAGCTGCACAATGCATGTAATGTTATCGAAGAGCTGCATCATTCCATCCCTGCACCGTAAAATGTCTGTGTCTATCTGGAAACCAAAAGTAGGGCTGTTATCTTTATGGAGAAAGGTGTTTGCTAGAAAGAGGAGTGGAGGAGATCCATGAAAGACTTCAAAGGACTCAGGAAACCTGGCTAGGTAGCCCAGAGTATTCCGTTTGCATCTCCACTTTCTTTAGGGTCTAACAGCATGGGTGGACTCCAGCGTTGAAGGTGTTGTTCACGTTTGCTCTCATCCTTTCATCCCATGTGTCAGGAGCCATTCAAGAGAACTGTCTTCTGAAGCATCAGCCTATGCAATTTGAAGCTGCAGGAAGGTTCTGTAAATGCAGACAAAGAAGCCATCTTGGCTCCACTCTGTCACATCAACTGCAAGGAGGAGAGTGCTGGTGACTAATGAGGTCGCAAGCCACTGCGGAATTGCTCCCTGGAAAATGGTACCAGATGGATATACTGCTGTGAAGAGTCCCGACCCAGTAACGCTGGGGCGAGCCCACCCTCACCCAGCCCGGTCTCCTTTCCCCCATTTCAGTGCCACTGCAGACAACCTATAAAAATCCAGTCAGTTTAAAAAATAAAAAAAAGTTACTGTAACACTGATAACTACGGTAAAAAAAAAAGGAGAGATTCAGAGTTTATTCTGCATGATCCACATGCAGCATGCATGTATAGACGCATGGTCTGATATGTATATGTACAGTGCAATGTCTCCTGCCTTTGGGAACGCTCAGCGGGTAGAAGGGGCCAATTACATGGCAGACTTCATCTCCCATTCCTGAAAGAGATGGATGGAGAAAGGACAATTATTCCCATTTCTTGAGGGGGGCAGGGAGAGCGTGCTAGGTGAGCCAGGCCTTTCCCCCACCCCCAGCACGACTCTCCCTAGCAGAGGGGATGCTCCTCAGTACCTTTCTCTTCTGCAGAACCTTCCCCTTTTCAATGATGACCACGGAAGGCGCTCGCCTCAGGGCACTCTTGGTGGAGGTGGTGCGTTTCAGCAGAGGTGTTAGGAAGGAACCCTGCACACAAGAGTGGAGAGAAGAGGGGTGGGTGTAGGAGCCCCCTTTTGCCCTTCTTTCCAACCTGTCCGGGGGGTTAGCTGTGAACAGGGACTCTAGGGCAGTGATTCTCAACCTGTGGCCCAATCAGCACAGAGCTACGGCCCATGTGACATCCTCAGGGCCATATAGGTAGTATTGGATGCGGCCCACATATGCGGCCCACAATGGTAAATAGGTTGAGAACCACTGCTCTGGGGCCATTCCAGCTCAGTCTGTGGTCAGACCTCTCCCCCTGTCTAAGGGGCCCCACACATGCCATAGCAGCTCCCCTCCATATGGAATCACTTCCCCACTTTGTCTAAAGGCAAGAAAGAAGGACCTAAGGTAGACCTGACTTTCTCAAGGAACAGGAGAGAAGCAGCAGAATGAGGAGAGGGAAAGAGGGAGAAGAGATGATGCTGAGAAAGGGATGGGAGAAGAGAAAGGCAGGAAGCCCTAGGAGAGCCCCTGATTGTTTCTAGCCCCCAACTGTTCTGTCTCATGGCTGCCCAGTGTCTGACTCTCACCCATCCTGCTCCATCCTCCCTTACCTCGGAGCCTGCTGAGCTGGTGGCGGTGGCTATGTGGCCCTTCAGAGACTTGCCGATGGCTAGCAGGTTCATCTCCGAGCCGGCCTTCAGCCTGGTTTTCATCCGGCATGCTCTTTCCAGCTGCCCTACCTTCTCCTCCAGCTTGGGGAAGGCCCTCTTACCTGCAAGAAGGCGGATCGTGGAGCCATGTGAACCCACACGGGAAGCTGAAGGCCCAGTCCCGCCACCCTGACTCACTCTGGGTTACAGCTATGCCCCGAGAGTCGCAGGACACCCATGGCTCAACATTCCCAGCCCTCTCCTGCACTGGGTAAGTCTTGCCAACCCCTGGCACAGGGGCAGGGGGTCAGCAACCTGCCTGAGGCTGTGCAGCGATCATACCAATTAAGAAATCCAAGCTGTCTGGGGCACCCTTC